AGAATACTTCAATACTTTTTTTCTGTCCATTGAATTTTATTAGTTTTTGCCAAGATTTGAAGGTTCTACATTGTGTGCCATTTCAGAATATGTAAATGCTTTAATGAAACAGCACTTCATTTGGATGAAAGGACCTATTGTCTCACAGTTTGTTTTTAATATTAAGCTTAGAAAAGTAGAGGGTGGTAAATCAATTCTGTGGCCCCTGAAATGAGCAGAAAAAGTGGGAAAATGAATTACACTTACTAGTCCAGCTCCTTGAAAAGACCATGTAAATTTGTACAAGAAATCTTGTCCTTTAAGAGGTTCTTTTGAAGCTGGATATGATGCAGGATTGTTGCCTTGTACCTTTCAGAAATTGTGATTAACACTAGAGACTTGACGAAGGAGATGTGCATATTAACATTCAACACTAATTCACATCCTTTTGGGAACAAAAAGCGTCAGCGTATATTGTAACTTTAAAGATTCTAATCCTTTATCTTTTCTTACTAGTTGATTGTTCACAAATATTCTTTTCTTTTACAGAATCATTTTCCCCATCCAGATTTCACAGTTGCCATTGGAATCTGTCTTGTGTCTTACTCTGTTTGGAATATTAAATCAAAGTAGTGGAAGTTCACCTGATTCAAATAAACAGAGAAAGGGACCAGAGATGTTGGGTGAAGTTTCTTTACCTCTTTTCGATTTTAGACGGTAAGTAGCCAAAATGTGTTTAATGACTTGGGTGTATGAAGGAATTTAGATGATCCCCACAAGTGCAGAGGCTGCTTCTTTGCCACTTTTTAGTAGACTGATAAAAGTAAGACTGGCACACCATGCTGCGTGGGAAGTTACTCTTAATTAGAATTCTATATACTGCTGATCCTTCACATTTGTTTATAAGATGTTTCTATTCAAATGGCTCTGCTTTCTGCTAACAGACTGATGAGCTAGTAGGGTTGGAATGATAGGCTGTTTGTATTATATTGATAATCAAGGAATGTTCATATTTCACCCAGTTTGCATGGTAGTTTTCTCAAATAGAGACCATGGTAGATAGCAGTATTGTGGAGTGGCAGTAGTTTGTAGCATAGTGGCAGTGCATCCTTGAGGTAGTCCATTGACATCCAGCATAGGATCTGGTGCACAGCCTATGTATGTAAGTGTTCCCAAGTGTTACTGTCCAGACATATACTTCTTTCTCCATTAGTTGAGTACATTTGATAGGAGGGGAGAGAACAGCAATTAGTGAGCAGTATCTAGGCATTTGACTAGAAGGTGTGAAAGGCAGACAAGTTAACTAGGTATGTGTTAGGTAGCTGAGGTATAACAATGTGTGTTAAATAGACTTGGTAAGAGAGCAGAGCAACTTGCTCATTGAGCTCTCACAAGGATGCACACACAAGCGTTGGTCCAACCATATGGTGCCAGTTACACCATGCAGCACAGCATAGAAGCAAGAGCTACAAGGCCAGTAAAACAGATACCACAGAACAGCAACCTCTCTGAACAAATGCTTAGCATGTCGAGAGAGAGAGAGAGAGAGAGTGAGAGTGACTGACTCCCTCAATGAGACATTTTTAGTTTTGGGGACTTCATTTTGCTTTTCACAGGCCTGCAATCTCTCAGTATAATTTCTCTCAATTTAGTGCAGCTAAAATCCATTGCCTTGCTCAGCAGGAGTTGATTCAAAATTAAAGAGCTCTTTAAAGAAGTTTTTGGAACTGTATGTCATTAAGAGAAACTCCGTTCTTGCGGTGCTCTTAAATGGAGATTGATGGAAAAGAGAGATGCTCTTGCATCTGGGACTCTTTTACATTCGTTCTGTGAAATTCTATTTTTAATAGCCTAGAAAGCAATACGTTTCTTCTAGTCTCAAGTCTTTACATAATAGCAACATCTGGTCTAGTTACACTGGTATACATATTTTAAAAAGATAAATCAAATCAAACTTAGAGCTAAGAAAATCAAGTACAATGTCTGTACTCATTTCTACTAAAAAAATTAATTGTATGGATAGAATTGATTCATACTAATTAATACACTAATGCAGGACACTAATTTCTGTAAGATGCTTATGCAGCTGTCAATGATTATGAAAACTCTTAAGCAAAACAAATAGGGTATGTCTACACTACAGAGTTAGTTCGAACTAACCTCCGTTAGTTCGAACTAGCTAGTTCAAATTAAGGGCTGTGTAGACCCTTAATTCGAACTAGCGGAGCGCTTAGTTCGAACTAGGTAAACCTCATTTTACGAGGATTAAGCCTAGTTCGAACTAGCTAGTTCAAATTAAGGGCTGTGTAGACCCTTAATTCGAACTAGCGGAGCGCTTAGTTCGAACTAGGTAAACCTCATTTTACGAGGATTAAGCCTAGTTCGAACTAGCTAGTTCAAATTAAGGGCTGTGTAGACCCTTAATTCGAACTAGCGGAGCGCTTAGTTCGAACTAGGTAAACCTCATTTTACGAGGATTAAGCCTAGTTCGAACTAGCTAGTTCAAATTAAGGGCTGTGTAGACCCTTAATTCGAACTAGCGGAGCGCTTAGTTCGAACTAGGTAAACCTCATTTTACGAGGATTAAGCCTAGTTCGAACTAGCTAGTTCAAATTAAGGGCTGTGTAGACCCTTAATTCGAACTAGCGGAGCGCTTAGTTCGAACTAGGTAAACCTCATTTTACGAGGATTAAGCCTAGTTCGAACTAGCTAGTTCAAATTAAGGGCTGTGTAGACCCTTAATTCGAACTAGCGGAGCGCTTAGTTCGAACTAGGTAAACCTCATTTTACGAGGATTAAGCCTAGTTCGAACTAGCTAGTTCAAATTAAGGGCTGTGTAGACCCTTAATTCGAACTAGCGGAGCGCTTAGTTCGAACTAGGTAAACCTCATTTTACGAGGATTAAGCCTAGTTCGAACTAGCTAGTTCAAATTAAGGGCTGTGTAGACCCTTAATTCGAACTAGCGGAGCGCTTAGTTCGAACTAGGTAAACCTCATTTTACGAGGATTAAGCCTAGTTCGAACTAGCTAGTTCAAATTAAGGGCTGTGTAGACCCTTAATTCGAACTAGCGGAGCGCTTAGTTCGAACTAGGTAAACCTCATTTTACGAGGATTAAGCCTAGTTCGAACTAGCTAGTTCAAATTAAGGGCTGTGTAGACCCTTAATTCGAACTAGCGGAGCGCTTAGTTCGAACTAGGTAAACCTCATTTTACGAGGATTAAGCCTAGTTCGAACTAGCTAGTTCAAATTAAGGGCTGTGTAGACCCTTAATTCGAACTAGCGGAGCGCTTAGTTCGAACTAGGTAAACCTCATTTTACGAGGATTAAGCCTAGTTCGAACTAGCTAGTTCAAATTAAGGGCTGTGTAGACCCTTAATTCGAACTAGCGGAGCGCTTAGTTCGAACTAGGTAAACCTCATTTTACGAGGATTAAGCCTAGTTCGAACTAGCTAGTTCAAATTAAGGGCTGTGTAGACCCTTAATTCGAACTAGCGGAGCGCTTAGTTCGAACTAGGTAAACCTCATTTTACGAGGATTAAGCCTAGTTCGAACTAGCTAGTTCAAATTAAGGGCTGTGTAGACCCTTAATTCGAACTAGCGGAGCGCTTAGTTCGAACTAGGTAAACCTCATTTTACGAGGATTAAGCCTAGTTCGAACTAGCTAGTTCAAATTAAGGGCTGTGTAGACCCTTAATTCGAACTAGCGGAGCGCTTAGTTCGAACTAGGTAAACCTCATTTTACGAGGATTAAGCCTAGTTCGAACTAGCTAGTTCAAATTAAGGGCTGTGTAGACCCTTAATTCGAACTAGCGGAGCGCTTAGTTCGAACTAGGTAAACCTCATTTTACGAGGATTAAGCCTAGTTCGAACTAGCTCTGTAGTGTAGACATACCCATATAGTTTGCAAGTAGCAAATATTACTTTTATCACTTTTCATTGGCTATTATCCAGGATGGGTGGGAATGGTGTCCCTAGCCTTTATCTGTAAATGGGTGACAGGGAAGGGATCACATGAGGATTACCTGTTGAGTTACTTCCCTTTGGGATATCTGGTATTGGCCACTGTCAGTAGACAGAATACTGAGCTAGATGGACCTTTGGTCTGACCCAGTATGGCCGTTCTTATGTTCTTATCCTTTCCACATTAGCAAAAGTTTACTGGTTCACTAATTTACATTCGGCAATTAGACAAACTAACTGAATGCTTTCCAGTTTCAAAGTCACATAACAGCGATTTTTCTGTTGTAGGCGGTGAAACAGTTGTGAGACCTAAGTACAGGAGTCCCCCGACTTGCAACGCAATCCATTCCCAGGGAAGCGTCGCAAGTTGGGGACATCGTAACTCGAATCCTTATTTATGATAGGCGCTGTGTGCCATTGTAAATGCAGGCCGAGGACGTAAGTTGGGGGGTTTTGGCCCCTTCCACAACTACAAAAATGGTTGTAAGTGTGGAGTGTTGGAACTTGAGTGGTCGCAAGTTGGGGGCCTCCTGTAAAATAATCTGAGGTTGGTTTAAAGGAAAGTATAAACTGTTAGGGTATGCTTTTAAAGGACAGTTCTTATGTACCAGTAACGTGTTCCCTCTGCACATTCATGCCTGTTCAACAGTGCTGAATTCTTCTTGCAAAGGACTTGACAGTATAGATCTGAGGGCATTAGTACAGTTAATACTAGACACAAAACTACTTTAGCAAGTAAATCTTCAGTCCCTAGTTCTTGATCTGGATACTTGACACTGAACTGAGTGATAAGCTCAAGGACCTGATACTGTCTAAGAAGGACATAGCTATATCTAGTGCAATGCTACCATAGTCTTAGTCATGGGCTATAGTCTAAAAATGAATACTGGACTTGCACAGAGCCAGTTTTAACCAACTAGATGACCCTTCACCATGAGGAGGGTTTTTGAGGCAGCCCTCATGGTCTTTGATTCAGACAGTGATTTTTTTCCCTTAAATAAATCCTTTCTTTAAGACTGTTGCTTTTGAGTTAAAATATAACTATAAACAAAAGTAGGTATGAAAGGGCAGAGTTAAAAAACCTAAGGGAAGCATTTTGAACATTGAATTTTAAACTTTTGGCTGTTAAACAGAAACTGTTGAAAGCAATTGGGGCCACTTGGAACCCTCCATGAGGGCAGGGTAAGTGGCCAGTAGTGCTCTCTAGGAAGTTCCAGAGGTGAGAATATTCAGAGGCGTCCTGGAAGAAGAATCAAAAGATTCTTTACCAGACTTAATTCAAATCTGGGTTATAGGATTTAAAATCACTTATACAGGGTGTAGGAAGTGCAGTAAAAGGCATGTCAGGATAAAGTGGTAAATGTTTAAAAGCTTTGCATCATTGACAAATTGGCCCAGATCCAGACTTTCCTAGAGGAAGCTGATGAGTGAGGATGCAGTCACCTTGGTGCTCTGCTGATCCTGAGCTGTCCTGCACCACACTAGTCTACAGGCACAGCTTGAAGCAGCTTGCTGACTTCTTCAGCTTACCCTTAAGGTTGCTGACAAAGGTGTATGTCTACACTGCAATAAAACACCTGTGGCTGTCCTGGGTTAGCTGACTCAGGCTTGCAGGGTTTGGGCTATAAAATTGTAGTATAGACAATTGGACTCTGGCTGCGCTGCCATTTTTTAGCTCCGGAGCTCAAACCAGCTGACCTGGACTGTGATACTTGGTGTGGCAGCTGTTTTATCACAGCATAGACCTACTCTGATACCATTCTAGCAGCTGGAAATCTCTGCAGCACAGGAATTCAAACTGCAGCACCGTTCATGAGGGGACGATGCATTAGAGTGATTGTGTGCTACCTGAGGAGCCCTTATTGTTAAGGACACAACTGCCATTAAACAGCTGAGGAGCTGGAGTCCTGTGAGCATGCATCGAAGTTTTACCAAATAGGATAGTACTTGTATACACCTGAACATCAAGTTGTCAGTTTAATTGTATCTTAATGTTGTGGTAGTTGGAGAGAATCCTATCAACAATGTAAAGAGCAGAGATGGATACTTCACAGGTGAAAACTATTTCAGCTCCCGGAAGCACAAGGATCTGAAAGAATGTTGTGCCGAATTTGGGTGAATAACATGCATACGCTGGATGTAGAAATGTCAGTCTCTGCTAGCCGTGGATTACTACAGTTGAATGCAGGCCAGGGTACTTGAGGACACAAGCCAAATACTCCAGCTGCATTTTCATATAACATCAATAACAAAGGGATCTAAAAATTGCTGCTAACTAGAACACTGAAGAATCTAAGGTCATTACTGTGCTGTGAGACTCTGAAGCCAGATTGGAAGCACTTGTGATGAAGTGAGGGTTTGGAATAGATACAGCTCTCCCATTTTTGCTACCACATAAGGGTACTACAAAGAATACTGTGTACTCTTTAAAAAGGACTAGATCTGTGTTCATTTGTTCTTCAGTGGCACCATATAATTAGATGCATGGTTTTGTTGCTGGTTTTGTTTTGTTGTATTATGAGCATTATATTAATAAAGACTGCCTCTTCTCCTCCTGTTCTTTGTCCCAGCTGCTTTCCATCAACATACTGAAGGCTTGATGGTCTCCTGAATTAATTAATTTTTAATTCATGAAATTAAACTGGATTGACTGAATAATTATTTTAGACTACTTGAGGCAGGAATGATCTGTTCTGTACAATGCACAACACACTGTCAGATCTCTGAGATCTTGGAGTCATTGTAGATAGTTCTCTGAAAACATCCACTCAGTGTGCAGCAGCAGTCAGTAAAGAAAGCAATGTTAGGAATCATTAAGGAAGGGTTAGAGAATAAGACAGAGAATACCTTGTTGCATCTATAAAAATCCATGGTAACACACATTTTGAATACTGTGTGCAGATGTAGCTGCCTCATCCCAAAAGACACATCTTGGAATTGGAAAAAGTTAAGAAAAGGGCAACGGACATGATTAAGGGTATGGAATGGCTGCCATATGAGGAGAGATTAATAAAACAGGACTGTTCATCTTAGAAAAGACAAGACTAAGGGGGGGATATGATAGAGGCCTATAAAATCATGGTTGATGTGGAACAAATAGGAAAGGTTATTTATTTGTTCTTGTAACACAAGAACTTAGGAGTCACCAAATGACATTAATAGGTAGCAAACAAACCCACAACAAAAGGAGGTATTTCTTCACACAACATATAGTCAACCTGTGGAGCTCCTTGCCTAAGGATGTAGTGAAGACCAGGACTTTAACAGGGTTCAAAAAAGAACAAGATGAATTCATGGAGGACAGGTCCATCAATGGCTATTAGCCAGGTGGTGCAGGAATGGTGTCCCTAGCCTCTGTTTCTCAGAAGCTGGGAATAGGCAAGAGGGGGTGAATCACTTGATGATATCTGTTATGTTCATTCCCCCTCGGGCATCTGGCATTGATCACTGTCAGAGGACAGGGTACTAGGCTAGACGGACCTTCGGTTTGACCTAGTAATGTAATTCTTATGTAAACCTAGAATTGCAGTGACGCATACTAATTATAATTGGTTAGTAGTAATGTGAAGCTATTAGCAAATTTTGCATCTGCAGTTACACCAATTGTATGTGGTTTGATAAAATCATAGATTCTAGAGATGAAAAATCCCTAGTCCTACCCCCTTGTTGGTGTAGGATTGCCGCTTGTAGAATATATTGATTTTTGTCTGAAATCTTTAGTCGCCCCACATGGGCAACCTGTGTTCCATGTTATTTGTCTGGGGGAGGGGGGGTGGAGTTTAGTCAAGTCTACTATTTCAGTACTGAACTGCCTCTGCAGGCTTAGAGTTGCTTGCAGATTTAAGTATTTTGAGAACTTAGAAAATAAATATGGGAGATAGATGAACATGCAGAAGAAAAAATTATTAGTAGTGATCATATTCATTGTTTTGGCTGCTCAGAATCATAATTGCCTACAAATGGCATGCTTTCCCACATTGTCTGAGTCCGAAAGCTTAATATAGAATATCTCTGGAATAAAAAAGCTTTCTCTTTCAAGGAATGTTATCATTTGTTACTTGTTCTCAAGTGAGAGCAGGCCATCTATATTCTGAGACGAAATTTTTGCCATTATAGTAAACCTATTGATAGTCCATTTAAATTATGCAGATAAAGCAAATTAATGTTTCATATTTTGTGAGTTACCATTATTTTCTCATAGGTGTTTGATCTGTTTTCCAGATTTTGATGTTTTTCACTAACTTTTTGAGGAGTAGGCACAAGATGTAGTGACTGAAATATTGTGTGCTTTTTTCTCTTTGTTTTCTTAGTTTGTTAACTTGCGGAACTAAGTTGTTACACCTTTGGACTTCATCACATGTGATTCCTGCATCAGCAACTACCCATAAAAGAGGAAATCTCATGGAAAGAATAGTACTGCAGGTAGTATTTTTTTTTCCTGATTTTCAGTTAAGTGTTTTGTTTTGAATGCTGTAAGCAAGAATTTTGTCGTCAGAAATAGATTGATATTGCTGAGGGCGGGGGGAAAGCCTCTTCACTATGCAGGCAATAGTAGGTGATGCCAAACCAAAATAATAATATAAAAACAGTGATCATTGACCCCTGATGCAGTAGTTCAGTGTTCAGGAAGCTTTTCAGCTTTCTGAAAGCTTTTTAAAATGGCCTTCTGTTTTAATTTTTCAGGTTGATTTTCCCTCTCTGGCTTTTGATATTGTATACAAAGTGCCTCAAGCTGCAACCGGTTTGGTACATCGTTCAGTAGAAACTTTGGAAAAAAATGTAAAGGAGCGTCTTCTTGCTATTCTTGCTAAAGATGGCACCCTCGGGTATGTTCATCTATTTGTGTGATTTTATCTTTTTACATGTAAGCAACTCTGTGGAGAGGGAAATAAATACATAATGTGTCCTCCTTACTAAAGGCTGACAGTTTACAGCCAAATATGCTCCCTTTCCTTTACACAAATGAGACTTGTGTGCTTGGATTTAGGTGTGCAGTTCTCATTTTTGAAGTTTCAGTAAAACTGACAAAAAGGGACCAAATTTTTATTTATGTAGTAAGTTAACTTTTACAGAACAGTTAATACGTTTCAAAATCACTGGGAGAAATTAGGATATTGTAGGAGGCAGTCTTCCTGTCATCTGTGCTGAACTAACATTGAAGTATGGCATTTGGAACATTGCCCTGTTCAATTTCTGGTGAAACTTAAAGCAATAAAGTTGTAATTGCTTTGAGCAACAATCTCCCATTTCTGCAGCACCTTCCTGACTACCTTCTTGAAATGTTTAGGTTGTATTCAGTCTCAGAGGTAGATGAAGTGACTTACCGGTATGTCCCTTTGGCAACTGCTTTGGTTTTCTTCAGAGTAACAATAATTGTTATAAACTAAACTGTTGTTTGGACTATCTGCAGGCTATCAAAGGGAGATAAAGAGTTTTTGTGGGAGAAGCGACATTATTGCCATGGACATGAAAACAGCCTTCCAAAAATATTAGCTAGTGCCCCACACTGGGACTGGGGAAGTCTGCCTGAGATATACTCACTGCTTCAGCAGTGGCCTCCACTACCTCCTTTGACTGCACTGGAACTACTAGATTCAAAGTAAGTGAACTCTATGAATTATAGAAAGAAAAGCACAATTTACCGGTTTTGTAGGGTACTGAAAAATATATTTTAAATGATTTCCACTGCATTCTGTAATTTTTTTACAAGCTATGGTCTCCATTGATTTAAATTATCTCCTTGACACTCATGGTTAGCAGTAGCTATTAAACAGATTTATCATTTAAAAAGTGCACATAAAAGGTTTGGTTACCAATAGAAGACTTCTGAACGATCATTCATAGGAGGATTGAATTTTCTTGTTTTGTAAAATATAGCCTACATTTTTATATCAAAAACCTCCTCAGCTTTTGTCTGTCTTTCAAAAGCTGATTTAATTTCTGATTAAACTCAGCCAAATCAATGTCCTACTGTGATGTTACAAGAGTAGACTGACCTCAAATCTATCCCTTTAATATGAGATTAAGGGTTTGCTATTTAAGATAGGTGCTAAAATAATAGTTAGAGATGGGCATCCCTGCACCTCAGTATGTACATGCTTTTGTATGTAGAGGGCCTGATATTAGGGGGCATGCAAGAACTATTACAATAAAAAAGTTAGCTCCTGAGACTTGGTGTTTCATGCATGTCTCTGCTGATAAAAACAAGTAATGGACTTGTGATGCTTTTGTAGGTTTGCAGATCAGAAAGTACGAACCACAGCTGTGAACTGGATTGAGGCAATAAGTGATGATGAGTTGACAGATTTTCTTCCCCAATTTGTGCAGGTGACATTTATTGCTTACCCTTTTGTTCATTTTCCAATATTAGAACTCTTAAAATTATTTTTGGTGCTTAGTACCCAAAATATACAGTTGGGTGCTTTTTATTAGTGTTACCATAGATACAGGGAGGTGCTATATATAATTTTAAATAACCCAGTATGTAAACTAAGCAATTTAAGTAAAACAAAAAGAATTATACTAGCACTTTCTATATACGTGTGACACATCTATGTACAACTTTATTTTTACTTTTTATATAAAAGGCAAACACACAATGAAACAAAATATAAATTTGCATATAATGAAACTAGCATCTCCAGCATTTGCCATGTGTTACCAGTAGAGCCTTAAACTTGTTTTATCTTTCATATTAAGCCAGCCAACCTTTCAGGTTTCTGTTGCAATACTAAGGTTGTTTTTCCCCCCATTTTTCTTTGACTGAGAGGGTCCTGTAAAGCGTTAAACCACTTGAAGTAATTCCTCCAAAGTTAATTTTATTTCTTAACATGTGTTTCTAGAATTGAGTTGAAACAGACCAATTGTCCTATCTTTGCATGAATTCTTGAGCATAGCTGCTGAAAGAAGGAACTGAGACACACTGGTAGCTGTTTATCATATAATCAAGGGAGATCAGTTTTACACCTTGTATCTTTTTCAATCTTTAATTCTTTTTCTATCCATATTATCTAAGTGTGGAGTTAATCTGTGCCTCCAGATCAAGGCCATCTCATAGTAGTATGAGAAGAGAGTAATGATGGCCTCTTACAATATAAAACACAAAAATGTAGAAATGGCAAGTGGGGTGGGTTTGGTTTTGTTTGCTTTTGTCTCAAACCAGACAGATATGTATACAGAGCCACTGGAGAGGGAAACACCACAATAAGATGAATTGGAAACGCTAAACAATAGAGATACAATTTAAGGGTCTTGTGTGACAAACCAGGCAGTCTTATATCCCATATAAATTGCATAAGCTTATTTATTGAGCAGAAAGCAAAGGAGTGAACTTAAAAGGCAATAGGTTAATGACAAGGTACATTTGGGCAGATATTTATTTTGACAGTTTGAAGTTTTCTGAGTAGGGGTGGGGGCACAAAATGTCATCTTACAGCCTTGATAATTTATTGTAATATATAGTCCATATTTATGAAACATACCCTTCAGGTGTCTGTGTTAAATTTAGTTTTTCAGTCATCTAACTTTTACCTATTTTCAATAATACTCAGATCTCATGGGTTTATTCTGCTCTGGACCCTTCAAGATCCTTTGGCCATCACTGCACTTTAAATTGTATAGGTATCCCCCCTTCTCCCCGCCCTCCCGAAACAACTAAAGGGAATGTTTAATCCAATCCAGTAGTTGTCAAAAAATTTTCTAATGACCCAGTTGAAGAAAATTGTTGTCAGTGATCCGTAATTTGATTAGAGTGTGGGTTCAGGGTGGGGCTGAGGATGAAAGTTTGGGGTGTAGGAAGGGGCTGCAGCTTAGGGAGGACAGGAGGGACTTACCGTGAGCAGCCCCCCGGTCACTGGTGCAGCAGGGGGTGCTAAGGCAGGCACTATATGCTCTTCCCCCACCTAGGGGCCAGGTCTCATGCTGGCCACTTCTTGGGCACAACACAGTCTGCAGTGCCAGGGCTGGCAAGTAGCCTGCCTTTAGCAGTTCCACTGATCACCTGATCACCCTGCAGCAATGTGACCCAGTGCCTGACATTCCATGACCCTGTACTGAGTCACAACCTGTAGTTTGAAATCCACTGATCTAATCTAAAAATTGACTAATTTTCTTGCATTTAGGCATTGAAGTATGAAACCTACCTAGACAGCTCTTTATTCAGATTCATTTTGACCCGGGCATTAGGAAATATTCGAATAGCACACTATATGTATTGGTAAGAACATTTCTTTCATTATATAAGTACAGTAATATTGATGTCTTCAGAACAAAGTAATATGCTGTCTAAATACTACATTTTCTTTCGTGAGTGATAGATCAATGAATGTTACATCAGGTTGGGGTTATGTGCAAAAGATAGTGTTCCTTTTAAGGAGACCAAATGAATCCACAGGAATCAAACACACAAATATCAAAATTGTGTTACTTTCTGTAAATCAGTAACTGTATGTATGTGTGTGCATGCTCAGCGCTGTGCAATGTCACTTAACAGACTTTTTAAAAAGGGTTTGCTATTTAACTCATCCAAAATGTTCCCTTTAGAGAGGAAATAGTAGTTTTTCCTACAAAATAGTAACTTAAATATCTGCTATTTCAGGCTTCTGAAGGATACCCTACATGATGCAAAGTTTGGGGTAAAGTATGAGCATATTCTTGGTGCCTTCCTCTCAGTCTGTGGGAAAGGGCTAAGGGAAGAGCTGGAGAAGCAGACCAGAATGGTACAGCTTTTGGGAGTGATAGCAGAAAAAGTAAAACAAACAAGTGGATCTTCTAGACAGGTGCGTAAGCTTAACTTTTAATATTATGTGTTACGGGGGATACATCTGACTTAAATTTTAAAGCTGAGCAAATTTACTTTGAAATTCAGTACAGCCCTGTATAAAAGTATAGTAAGATGTGTTTCAACAGAATAATTATTAAAAAATCAACACATTTTGGTAATCACTAGTCTTCAACTGTTAACCAGAGCTGTGTGGGAGGAGTGGTTGCGAGAGGAAATAGCAATGGAATAAATTGATATTTCTACAGAATTTGGCCCCATTTGGCCTTGCTAGCTCTATATAATTTTATAGACCGAGGTGGCAGCATTTATCAGTATGGACAAATTTCACGTGGATGGTATTAGGGCTGTATTGATGTGGTTATGTTTTTTGGATAAATAAAATAGAAATGATTACTGTGATCATTTAAAATCCTATGGTACTCTTCAGGAATTAGGGCATTGGCTGTGCTATTCTGCATAATTACTTTGCTTGTCAGAAATTTCCCTGTAGATATTTTAATGGATGAGTGTCAGTTTTGCATTTTTGCTTCTCAGGTTGTCCTGCAAAGTGGTATGGAACGTATACAGTCCTTTTTCATAAAGAAGAAATGCCGTTTACCCCTCAATCCCAGCCTTGTAGCAAAAGAATTAAATGTCAAGGTACAGTATGGAAAGATTTTTAAATCAACATTGCATGCTTGCAATTCCTGGAAATGCTCAACCTGTAGAAAGGAATACTTCATATATATATATGAGAAGTGTTACATTGGTGGGGAAACTTTTATTAAAAAAGAGCCTTTAGAACCAGACAATAAAATTAATTGAGCAGAGAGACGACAGTTATGGCAATATTTAGTGTACAGCCAGACCAAGGCCTGACTTAAGGATGACCTTTACTAATTTTCTGCTTCATCAGAACCCAGTGGAGCTTTCGTTATTTAGCAGCAGGGACCTGGTCCTACATGAAAATCATAAAACGTTGTGCAATAACAGAAGAAAATTCATAGAATCCTAGGATTGGAAGAGACCTCAGGAGTTCGAGTCCAGCCCCCTGCCCAAAGCAGGACCAACCCCAACTAAATCATCCCAGCCAGTGCTTTGTTAAAACCTGTAGGGATGGAGATTCCTCCACCACCACCTTAGGTAACCCATTCCAGTACTTCACCACCCTCCTAGTGAAATAGTTTTTCCTAATACACAACCTAGACCTCCCCCACTGTAACTTGAGACCATTGCTCCTCGTTGTGCCATCCGTCACTACTGAGAATAGCCCCAATCCCTCTGCCTCTCCTCATAGGTCATGTGCTCCAGCTTCCTAATCATTTTGTTTGCCCTCTGCTGGACCCTCTCCAATGTGTCCACATCCTTTCGATAGTCCGGGGGTCGAGAACTGGACACAATACTCCAGATGTGGCCTCATCACTGCCAAATAAAAGGGAATAATAACTTCTCTAGGTCTGCTGGCAATGCTTCTCCTGATGCACCCCAGCATGCCATTAACCTTCTTGGCTACAAGGACACACTGTTGACTCATATCCAGCTTCTCATCCACTGTAATGCCCAGGTCCTTTTCTGCTGAACTGTTTAGCCATTTGGTCCCCAGCCTGTAACAGTGCTTGGGATTCTTCCATCCCAAGGGCAGGACTCTGCACTTGTCCTTGTTGAACCTCATCAGATGTGGCCCAATCCTCACTCTGGACCCTATCCCTGCACTCAAAGCATGTGAATCGACCAGTTAGACTGCTACCAGCTATGGTCAAAGGAAAACAATGTACAAGACTGGCTGTTAATATTTTGAAGGATATATTGTGATGGAACTAGGCAGCTGTGTGACAATGTGATCCTCAGATACTCAATGGTAGGGAGGCAAAGGTGGTTTTATGCAACTGGGAAGGCTAGTTAGTGGGTTGTTGAAGGGAGGGGATACATGCTCAACAGCAAAATATGTGCAAGGTCCAACAGTCTTCAAAGCCTTTGAAGCACAAATTGCATACACCATATTGCATGCTTAATAGTACAACATTTACACACTGCGTACTATATATTAAGGTGGTAAAATAGGTTATAATTCCATTCCCTTATGAGGCTGAAAGTATAAATGCAAGCAGAATGCTGGCTGGGACAAGAAAACACTCAAGTTCTGAATTGCATGCTGCAAAAAGAGGACTGATCTCAGAAATTGTATAAGCTTTAACATTTCTGACACTTAAATAGAAAACCAGCAAACTAGAATTTGGGGGAGGAAGCTGCTGTTACAAGATTCTAGTGAGTGTGGGGGAGACAAATGGCAAGCTGTAAAACTGTTGAATAAATTAATATCAAAGCATGCTTGCATGTACTGAACGTTGGTCCTAATCTCTACGAGGGACCTGGTGGAGAAGGTGTATTGAAGGAACCACATTTACATAATCAGTAGAAAGTAGGAAGCTGACACAGGAGAAAACTCTAAATTTGTATTCTCTTCATATCTCAAACTTACAGTTCAGGGGCAGTAATAAATTCAACTTGGAATAGCTGCTTCAGTTAGACTGTCTATCCCCTCTTTTTTTATTTATTTCGTTTTAGAAAATATCCTATCTTGCCATACTGGCATGTATACAAAAAAAGTTAAGGGGTTCCTGGCCACAGTAAGCAGATGTATTACCCACTATTTCCTTGCTGAAAGCCTGAATACCTGCATGGACTTTATGCCATTTGTTGTCAAACTGATGGTAAAGGGAGTAAATCCCATAATCCTGGTGCAAATGGAGACTGCTCTGTCTCTCTAGTCCATAGATGTTCAGATGTAGTAGTTTTTGTCTAAAGGCCCAGACTATCCAAGATGTTGTGAAAGCATCTGGGGAGAGGCATGGGTGTGTTTTCCTTGGGGCATGTTTATCCCACCAAAATCAGGATAATAGATGTGTCCATCATATAAGGCCACCAAGAGGGAGGGGCAAAAAGAGCAGCGCAAGTGGCATTGCAACCTGACACAGTCACCGCACCATGCACTGGTATTTGTGTGGCATTGTGACCCTGCCTGATAGGTTGCAACACCTAGAGCCAGGAAGCTGAGCCTAGCTCTCTGGACCAGGATCCAGTGTTGCAGGGAGCTGAGCCTAGCTCTCTGGACCAGGAGCCAGTGTTGCTTGCATGGGGCAAGCAGTCTGACACCCCACTTAAGGGCCCCCCAAAAGCTCTCTGCAGCCCTGCAACTATATATTGGGAAATAGAATGCAGACTTCTGGAAAATGCTGAACATTTCATGATTCCAAACTGCAGAACAATCTATTTAATTTTTTTTAAATTTATTTCAAGTTCTATATAAATATTACTGGCGTATTTTAATATGTATGCCAATAAAATGTTATGGTAATTATTTGTAGAAGACATTGTTAGGGAAGAGGCCGAGTGACCAAAATGAGGAATGTAGTCATTACTATTAATTAGCAGGCATGTCAGAACTGAGCATTCAATAGATAAGTATTTGGAAGATTAAACTCCATTCCAATGTATTAGACTTATAGAGTGGTGAATCAGGGAGGAATGAAACATTTTAATTTTTAAATATATAGGTCAGATATGAGTGATTAAATATTGTCATCACAATTTAAAAATCTTAGACTCACAAAAGCACCAAAATTTAGTTACTGGCTGTCTGATGCTCTCAGGAATGGGTGTTTGAGATCAAGCACACTATAGACTCTACTCTGTGATATATTGCCAATTCATTGATCTCAGAATCTGCACTGTTCATAGGATGGGCAAACATTCCAAATATTAGAAACTTTGAGGCATGCTAGCAATTTTAAAACTCATCTGCAAACTATTAGTATTCTATCGGATTTGAAAGCCAACAGTGTTATCAGTCACTATCCTGCTAATGATTAAACTGTAATGTACTTGCAGGCATGTTCCTTCTTCAATTCTAATGCAGTACCACTAAAAGTTACATTGGTGAATGCAGATCCTCTGGGAGAAGAAATTAATGTTATGTTTAAAGTAAGCCTTTTTTTTTTCTGTTCTACTGGAGGAAAGCTATGGGGTTTTGATAGCTGATACTAACAAAACTAGCCCACTTTGTCACATTTTTATGCTGTTTGATACATCTTGAATCTGCTCTTTATATTTAGAAAGTAAACTGACTTAAGTAACAAGAATGAATGAAAATAGCTTACGCCACAGGAGTGATTAACATTTGTAGAAGGCTGAAAACTTTTGTAACTACATAACTCCCCTTGCGGTCATATTTTAATGCTTTACAATCTTTAATGTATTTTATCTTCACAACAGTACCACCCTGTGAATTAGGATAATACTGTTAGACCATTTTACAGATGGGAAATTGAGGCAGATACACTGTCTCTATGGAATCGAATCTAATCTATCTAGATAAACTGACTGTCCCACAATCACACCTTGTCCATAGTGGAGCTAGGCATTGAAACCCTTTTCCAAGGCCAAGTCTAGCACGCTAACCATTAGACCAGCTTACCTCTTCCCCACCTATTCTTGAAGTGAAAATGTAAGATTAAAAAAAAATACTGTGATCATCTTTCAAGGGCTTACTGAGATATTTGAGGTATATTGTATAACCTGAATATCAGTATTTTATGTATGCGGGCTTCATTATGGCCCATCATTTACCCTTTCTCTACACTTAATAGCAGATGAAACAAGTCATTCTCAGTGTAAGAAAAAGAGCATCTTCACCATCATGTACCTGAAAGCCATGTTTTCCATAAAAATGAAACATGTAACCTACTTTTAGGCACCCCTGGAAAACTAGTGACCCTAGACATATGTCTGTGGTACCTAATTAAATATCCTGCACAGCAGACAACCCAAATGCTGCAACCACTGATGCCTCAGGTCGCGGTCGGAGCTCCCTCTATTGTTAGATCTATGTTTCTCATTAGCATTATTAGTTCGTTTTTTCTCAGTGTAAATAGTTACTTTTAGGGTTAGTCGTGTTCCAGTTCTACAGTTCTGTTAAAAAAAAAAAGGTTTTCTTTTCAGATCAACTCCGTTAGCGCTACGGCTAAGCGCTAAAGAAAGCTGAAATTGACAAACAGCAAAAAGACAGAGATTGCCTGGGTCGGCATCCAGCCACCCTCTTCGGCTCCTAACAATGCCGGGATCCCCCGGTTTTAAGAAATGTTCAGTTTGCTGCGAAGCTATGCCGGCGGCTGATGGCCATGACGCTTGCATAAGGTGCCTGGGCGAATCTCACGTTCCTCAAAAGTGCACCCACTGTTGCAAGCTCATGTCCAGAGCCCGCAAAGAGCGGGAATTAAAGCTCCGGATGATATCGTTTGACAGGGCACTACAACCTGATCCGATACGCTCAGCAAAAACTTCTGATTCTAAAAGGAGAGCGGCTTCTCCTGGACCGGCTACTTCAAAGAGAGCAAAGCCGTCCCTGACTTGCTCCCTTCCTCTGGCAGCTTCAAGGGCTTTGGCAGCCCCCAAAGTGACCCCTGCGGGGTTCTGACGCTCTACTGACCCGGGCAACAAAGGATTGCAAATGCCGAGGGCTCGGGCTGCTTCAGTGCCGTCATCGGCGGCACCGGCTTCAGCTTTGCCGGCTTGCGCTACAG